GAATGAAATCCAAAGAAAGTAGTGCAAAAATCTGAAACAATTGTATGTTGTAAGCCGCTCTGAATCCCTTTTGGTGTGAGAAGGGCAGCATATAAATGTAGTAAATAAATAAATGTAATATAATGAAGATTTATTTTAAGCCGAGTGTGTGTATATTACCCTATGACCGAGAGAGTGTAGTTACTTAGGATGGTATGGGGACACCCCCCCCCTAAAAGCACAGGTTGGGGGGGGGGGGGTATAGGGATTCAAATCCATGCCAAAGTGGGTTTAACAAGCCCACCTTGGCACAGATTTGGGTGCTGTCTAGAAGAACTCTTAATCTTAACTTCTCCAAGCTGAATATACCCAGCTCCCTAAACTGTTCTTCATAGGGATTGACTTCCAGACCTTTTGTAATTTTGGTCACGCTTCTTGGGATTTTGCAGCTGGTGCCAGAAACTGCCACAAAATACTCAATACACAGAGATATTGCTTAATTTTAAAAAATCTTGAGAGCTATGTCAACAAATACCACTGCTTCCTGAACCATATACACCATCTGGAAGAGCCCTAACATTAACATATTTCTTTCTTCTAATCCTCAAAAGAACTTCAGATTGAAGTAAAAGTGGAATAAAACAACAATGGAAAGATTTTTTTTAAATTTTTCCTCTAGGCATTGGATTTTAGACATATACATTCATTGTGGGAGAAGGGATAATAGAGACCTTATCCCCTCCATCTGTTGACAGCAAAACTAGATAAACAAGCATGAGAAAACGAGGGAATGGTGGGTGTGATTTACTAGAGCAAATTACAGTCTACATTTGCAAACATGTGGAAGAAATGGCCTGATTTAGAATAGTGGAATATTTTGCAAACATTATAAATTAGCTTTGTAATTGGGGTCACTGTTTCATTCTGTCACTGATTTCACAATGCCGATTATTCTTTTGGATTTCTTCACTCAACAACATATCCATCTGCTTTATTTTTGGAAGCAAGAACTATTGGAGAGTATTCTGCTTTGTAGTAATAAATAACGGTTTCTATGTATTAGTGAATTTTGAATTCCTTGGTGCATTCTTAAAGCATTATGCTTTGTATTTAAATAATCAATGTGATAGGAAATGCAGAAAAATAATGTGAATCCTAGTAGATTACTAAATTTGTTAAAGGAAAAATGCCAGATATCAAGCTAATCATTCATGCATTCATGTATTAACTCAAAAAATATATCCAATATAGTTCAAATATGCCCTTTTCCTCCTACTAAGGGGAAACCTCTAGGTCCGAATGCCCCTACTGAAATCTTCAATGTGACCTGAATCTCAGTTATGAGATCTTCTTCAATATAATCATCTCCATTTTATGAATTCTCCTAGCCAGGTTTAGCTTCATGTTCTGTTACTCTCCCAAATAAAATCAGCAAGTTCTATGAACAGAATTTTCTCTGTTATAAAATTCGAACTGAAGAACTCCACACCAATGGAAATGACCAATGCCCAAGCTATACAGACAATTTAATGGAGTTTGAATCTACCTTCAAACTGCAGTGGCCAGATAACAAATTTGTCATAAACACAGCCACTGATTGGGACCCAAGTCCAAAGAAACACACTGAAATGGGTAAATTAGACAATGTCAATAATCCAATGTCTGAAATGCCAGACACAACAGTCCTTGGAAAGCAACAGAATATCCAGAGAAACTTGCCTCCAAAATCATGTTTATACTTCTCCATAAGAAATGTGATTTTTTTGTAATGTGATTTCCTGGATATATATTTTTTAAATTCAAGTACACAATCAACCTAGTGGAATAGAAGGAAATAGGCTCTTTGTGCGAGATGGGAAAGAATGTGCTTTCAGACACTTAAAAACAGTAAGAGCTGTGCATGGTGTGATGTGGGAGGGCTTACTTCTTACAAGTAAGGAGCTAGGATGAAGCACAGTAAAGTGATTCCCTAAGGCAGGAAAAGGTCCTACCACAAGTGTTTATTATATCTGTTTGTTACATCGCTCCTTGTTGCTAGGAGAGGGATGGACATGACAACCCTCAGCACTCCATTCTGCAGCACCTCAGAAATCTTCTGTTGTAGGAAGTGGTTGCCTTTAAAATTGGGTTTGTGAGGGTAGTAACACCTGTAACTTCATTGTTGTAATCTTGTCTTATATGCAGGATCTCAATCATGGTGTTATATACTGCGACTATTTGTGTTTGATTCAAATGGATTTTTAGCTGCATATTTCAACGTTCCCCATTGCAAATCAGTTTTTGGTTTCTGGGAAGAAAGGGGCAACAGAAGTAGCAGGAGTAGGAGTAATAATAAGATATGTATGGCATCTTTCTTTGAAGACCTGCTTCCATCGCTTCTTTTATAGCAGTATTCATATCAACCATGTATTATCATATTCTCCCAGAAGCTTCTTCAAGTTATTTAGGGAGATATGACTTAAGATCTAATGGTATCATACATTTTAGTGCCAAACACTAAGCATGGAATTGACATGTTTATGTGGTTGTCTCCATGTGTGTTTTGTTGTGAAATAAAATGTATATATGGAGAACACTGGTTGATTGGCCAGAGGAATGAAGTAATAACTAAATTTCCCATTAGTCTTTAAGAAATGTACATCATGATGTATTTCAGTATATGATCATTGATTGATTTCCATCCAGATAGTTTTATACTTAGGACATTTTTACCAGACACAATTATTTCATTTATCCTATGGTTTTTCATACAATTATGCATTAGCACACTCTACTTCACCCTGGCAAAATGGCACTACCTAAAAGAATCCCACGCCTTGTGTGACTGTGGAGCAGATCAGACAACTCCACATCTGTATGCTTGTCCACCATGCCCTGCCTCATGTACAGAGGAAGAAATATTGGAGGTTACAGACAGTGCCATTGCTGTTACCCGTTTTTGGTCAAAAGATATTTAGCCACCTGTGCTCCTATTTTTATCAGTTTTATACTAATTTATGCAATGCTTTTGATACTAAATAAATAAATAACCTCACCCTAAAATGCAAATCTCTGGATTTAATAAGGTGTTATCATAGCAATCACCATGGTTATATCAGGTGAAAGAGCAGTCAGAAATGATTGGGTTGGTTAGAGAGACAGAGATCATTTCAGTACCTTCAATACCATAAGTAAACTCCAGAGAATCATATGGCATGATGTCTATATCACACAAATGGACAACATCTTCCAAGCATTTCAGTGAGCCACTTATAAAGTTGTCTCAGAAAATTTGTTTGTGCCGCTTGACCACCCTGGATGAGATCAAATGGAAATGTGAAATCCACGTCCGTTTGGCAGTGTTAATAAACACCAAATCTCACAGATTTTTGGTGTAGTCCATTTTCTTTCTCACTGAGGGTTAAATTGCATTTAGAAACTGGCTGTGGCTGAGTTCATTAAAATCAGCTCCAGGGAAGAATAAGGGAGTAATTGCTGGGGGGAAACAACCCTTACGGAAAGCACAATAGAAGGATGAGTAAAAGATTTCCTATAATTTACTAGATTAAGTTTTCTGAGATGTTTACCTTTGGAATACTTCTGGTTCCATTAGTAGAGATAGATTGAAGAGATTGCTGGAAGTGGGGTGAGATATATCAAAACAAAGTAAAAAACAGCAAAGAAAATTAAGAAATCTTTTAATCTCCATGGGACACCTTCTATGGTTTCCTAAAGTAGACCCAGTGTCTTAAGACCTCATCCCATTTACCGCTGGAATCACCACACATCATAGCTAATCTGATGGTGCCTAGTGTGGAAAACCTCATCCCACAAGGGGAAGCATCTGCCACCCATTGATGTCTACGCAACACAGGAAGTCTCCCGTGTTACCACCACAGTAGCATTTACTGGTTCCCCTTCCCTTTTACCATGGAGCCCCGCTGAAGTAGCTATGTGTCATGGGATGGGAGCCAGTGGGTTCTGTGGAAAAAAGGAAGGGAACCAGTGTACTCTGCCAAATTCAGCCCCATCCGATGAGGTTGTAGGTCTGCAGTGCTTTTGATCTGGGTAAGAGTGACCGTCTCTTGATTTTACCGTCCTTGAAAACAGGCAACATAAAACACTGTACTTGGACTACTGAGATTCAGTTTCAAATGTGAGATCTGGGTTAATGATACTTGATTAAAACAGAACACTTCTACACTATGCCCATTCTTGAAAAGAGCGACTTTGGTTTACAGTGTCCACAATCTTGTATTAAGTTTAAAATATCTTGTGTATATATGCTGTAATGTAGTAGTTTTCAAAAGGGATTCTGAGTAATCTTACAGTTTACAAAAACATGCTATCCTATTGAGAAGGTGACAATGGCAGACAAGCATCCCTAAAATATAGTGCAATTTCCACTTTGGTGATCTTATCTATACTATCTGTACTATGCAAATACAAGAAAATGCATCCAGATGTATTTTAGAGTTCCCTCTAAACTCACACCCAGCAGTAGTTGAAATATTTCAAAGAGATGCAATTTCCTCATATTCATATTGATGCACTTTCAATAGGAAAGAATCTGTCACACTCAAATAACTACAATATGTGTTATAAATCAAATTGATATAGGCCTCTGCTGATGTCTAGCAACATTTAGGCTTTTTGAAGGCTCAGTAAATCTGGCCAGTGCTTGTGTCACCCTAGACGAGGCATGGGCAAATTTCTGCCTTCCAAGTGTTTTGGAGTTCAACTCCCACAATTCCTAACAGCTGGTAAGCTGGCTTGGATTTCTGGGAGTTGAAGTCCAAAACACAAGGAGGACCCATGCCTGCCCTAGACAATGTCCCCTCTGACAAGCGATATCCACTGGTACTTTGGTGGTTTCTTTCTTTAAAAATGACATTCCGATATGTCCTCATTAGATGTTTATAAACCAATACCTCTGGTGCTCAGACATAGCCTTGAGAGTCATGTTTTTGGTTGAGTGATGTGTTTAAATTCACTTGTTACTACCGCATGCGTATGTTTGTCATTTTTCCCCTTTTTCTCAGGTGCAAAGAGGGCTACCAAGGAGTCCGCTGTGACCAATTTTTGCCGAAAACCGACTCAATCTTGTCAGATCCAAGTATGTCAAAATTATTTCTTCTTCTGTGTTTATAACTTGATGGACAAAGCTTTACCATGAGAATATAACGTTTTGCTTGTTGTCAAGATTCCATTATAACCCATTCCAGGAGCTTGTATAGTATATTGTATAATCAAATAGCCTGAGAGATCCACAGCATGATCATTTTATTTTATTTTACTCTGGTGAGGAAAGGTTACATAAAATAAAATATTCTTTTCTAATACTCTATATTTCTGGTACAATTTGGAAACAGTACATGAATATCTGGATTTCTTCAAAACCAAAACAAAGCAAAATGCAAGCCCTTTTAAAAATATACTAGCTTATCATTGTGATTAACTTGTCATTGTATTTGTCATTGGGTAATAATGCTTGTCATCATGATAGTAATGCTTGTCATTATGATGAGCAGGATAAGTTTAAAGGAAAGGACAGTTATTTAACTACACATCAGTTTTTACATAATAAAAACATTAGACACTGGAAGCTAGAAGTTAAATCTCTAAACCTGTTCCTCAGTAGAGAAGGAAATGGGATCAAACAAATGTGAGGCTCATGGAAATATGAATGTTGTATCATTAAATCTGAATTGAGTCTGTGTTTATTGCTAAGTTTCAATTGTTGCTAGATTTTATTGGGTTAGATGGTATTTTAAGAGCTTGTTTTATTAGGTTGATGGTTTATAATATATCCTTGCCCTAACCATGGGAATGGTGGGGCAAAAGTATCTCAATAAATAAGTGTGGAATGCATGCATCATATTTCATGACATACAAATTAACTTACAATAAAGCATGAAATAAGGATTACAACGTTGCTTTTGCCAACACTTCCATTGTGCCATGAAATTCTGCCAAATTTTGCTTCCCTCTCCTTTTTGATATAACATTTAAAATTAGACGTAATTGGCAATATTAATTCTTCTCTGTTTTTTAATTGTTATACAAAGTTAAATATGTTGTTTGAATGTGGAGGTCTCTTTTTTTATAGAGACTGTTATGTGTTCTTTCTCTTGTGGTTCATTCTTGCTATTGTTCTTTGTACATTCACACAGTTTACTGGGTGCCTCGTCCAGAGACAACTTGTTGTTCTGTTCTCATGCATGTCATATGATTTTTACCGTGGATTGCTTTGATGGCACTAACTTTTCTTTACTGTTTTCATTTTTATCTGTGGTACTGTGGTGACCTAGGGGAAATAGTCCTAAAAGGGACACAAGTATGGAATGTAAAATAGTTGAACATGAGCAGTGTTGAGTGTTGCACCCAATACATATTTTAATTAATATTTTAATTGCACCAGCCTTTCCTTACCTAATGTTCTCCAGATGTGTTTGACTAAGTCTCCCATAATCTGGCCGGTAGTCTGTGATAATGCATCTAAAATACACCAGATTGGGGAGAGGATGGAAGAAGGCTACTGTCAGGAGTCTTATCATATTGGCTTGGGTTAATCATCTGTAATCCATAATATGAGCAACTCAGTTACAGTAGGCTTTAGCATATCTTTATGTTTCTTTTTCTTAGAAGTAGCTTTCAAAGTGCCACCAAATCTATCTCTACCATGCTATTAATTAACCCCTTCCTACAGTCCCACCACTAGAGAAAGCCACTGTCAATATTCAAGAGTCTCATCCAAACACTATCCTGGTTCATTCAAAATGCAGCAATCAGAAGTTAAAATTGGCAACTTTCCCATGTATGTAGAGGAATTTTGTACACTTTCAGACCAGGCTTTCAATGTGTCATACTCTTCAGACATTTTGGACTACATATCTCAGAATTCTTAACCATTGACCATGCAGGCTAAGGCTAATATGAGCTGAAGTCAAAACATGTGTACCAGATTGGACTTGGCAGCTTTAAGCTGTTTTTATTCTGACCCAATTACTGATCGAATATGAAATGTTAATTTCCATTATAAAAATCCCTATAAATGCATACAAAATATTTGAATGTTTACAGTTATCAAGTAATGTAGAATTCACATTTGGGGGTAGCAAATTTGTTATTCCTCAAACAATGTTTATACAAATTGTATGTGAAATAGTAATGTCAGGTAAGCTTTGTGAGATCTGTTTTTAGACCTTCAACAAGCAGATATTGGGAGGAGATGGTGGTCAGAGCAAAATTTAACTATACTGATGTCCAATTGACTTCCACTCCTTTCATGTTTCATGTTTTATTTATTTATATGGCTGCTTTTTCAGGATTTGTTTTTATGAGTAGATGTGTATGATACTTTAGAAGCAGACTATAAACTGCTGCTGCTACTACTACAGCCCCCATTTACACTGCCATATAATGCAGTGTAGATGTCACATTAGTCTGGGATGTCCAAATAACACACTCAGGCTAACGCGGAGAAACCTGAGGTCGACATTTTAATCCAGTTAACACCTTGGTTAAAATATGCCTGCAAAGATCTGGATCTTCATTAAATCAGCAGGGTATTTAACTTTTAGAATTATATACCATCACATCTTATATACTTTTCATGGAAGCCCAGAGGACTTATCCAAAAGTTACTATACTTATGAGTAAATCAGGTGGCAGTGCCATTGATCACATCATGGTATCATCAGAGTGAATACATTTGGTATCCTGGAACGCACAGAAAACAATCATTTTCCTGTAGTAGTGTCCTTAGGTCTAATTATTGAACAGGCAGAGTGGACCAGAACAGAAAACTTAACTGGAATTATTGGGAGAAAGGAGGATGAAGTGGTCAATTGAACTAAGTAGTTCTATCAAAGAGAAATTACACAGTAACTATTTGATTAGCATACATCAACAACTCTGCAACAAGTCAACAAACCATCTAGATCTCTATCAACAAACTGTAAACAAACTTAGACCATGCTAACAAGTTCTACATATAAAAACTTACAGTCCACAACATATGGCTGTTTGACACAGAATGCAGGGCAGCCAAAAGAGACTTGGCAACGAAAATAAGGAAATCTCACAAAAATCCATCTGGAAATAATATGGAAAATGTAACCAAATGTAGGGCAAAATATAAAAGTCTACTCAAAGATGAGAATGATGAACACACAAAATCCAAGTGGCATGAACTGGAACAAGCACTCACAGAATGGAAGGAAGATAAATTTTGGGAACTTGTCACCAGAGGAAAACAAGGAGTAAGATACACTTTGGAAGCCTCAATCACTGCCTCTACATGATTAAACACTTCTCCAGCCTCTTTTGCCCTAAGACAAGCACATTGGAAGTGGCAGGGATGAACAAAGACAAAGACTTCTCTACTTTACCTGAGTGGGAAGCAGTCTCTAGCAAAGAGGTAAAGTCTTTAATTGCATCCTTGAAACCTAAGAAAGCACCTGGAGAAGATATGCTTCCTGCAGAACTTTTCAAGAAAAATGTTGAATGGTGGAGTCCCTTCCTTGCTAGCCTCTTTACCAGCATAAACAGCTCAGGACAAATGCTATGTGGGCGTAAAATGAGCATTATATTTCCAACTTACAAGAAAGGTGATAGAAATGGCCCACAAAACTATTGCCCAATCAGCTTACTTAACATCACATCAAAGCTATATGCTCAACACCTGCTACATAAACCGACAGACTGGTTACAAGAAAAACAATTTACACATGAAGAACAGGCTGGGTTCCAAAATGAACTAGGTGATGATCTTGCAGTAACCATTGGCCAATGTTTCACACTAAGCCATATCACAAGGAAATATACAATGCAAAGCAATCATCATGTCTTTGCCACTTTCATTGACCTTTCTGCTGCTTTTGACTCTATTAACAAAAACAGATTATGGGGAAAGTTACAAAATTCTGATATAGATCGCAGATTGGTGAGATTTTCAGGAACTATACACCAAAACAGGGATGTGTATTGGCTCGAACCCTTTTTAACATCTATGTGACTGATTTAGTGCCATGTTTAGCCAAAATTGACTCTCCTTTACTAGCAATCAGGAACAGAAAGATTTTCATCCTGATGTACGCAGATGATCTATTGCTCTTATCCATTTCTTGGTTGGGTCTTGAAAATCTCTTTCAGTAAATACTACCAAGAAGAATACCTATCAATAAACTACTCCAAGACCAAGGTGATGGTTTTTGGAAGACAATGCCCCAGGTACAAATGCTCCAACATGCCATAGAACAAACACACTTATTTAAATACTTGGGAATTGTTTTCAGTGAATCCCTTTCCTGGAAGCATCACAAGGAAGCAGTGAAGCTGACAGCTGAGAAAACAATAGATGCCCTAATGAAATTCTTCTATACACAGGACGAACAGCTAATAGAACCTGCCCTAAAAAATTTCAGTAGCCAAGTACTGGCATAAATGCTTTATGGCACAGAAATCTGGGGCTCAGATACTAACATATGTAAAACCTTGGAAATTTTGCAGAAAAATATTACAATTTTGTTGGTATGGAGGCTGTGGAGGATCACCTTTTGTGATTGGAGGTAGAATTTCCATAGCCATCCTACACTCCCCAGGCTCAGGCAGCATGCAGAGGTAGGATGGTACTTCTATTCTTCCCACTTTGTCCTGTGTCTAGCCTCCAAAATGAGCAGAAGGCATCCTTAACTGTTCCTGGAGACTATGTTTTCTCCTTTGCCTGCAGTAATAACACAACAGAGCTTGGTGGGGAGAGGGGGACATTGGCTATGCCCAGACATTCCAACACTGGATTGACATGGCAAAGCCATATGGCAATCCCCCCAACCTGCAATGAGATAGTATCTGCCCCCCCCACAAAAAAACTGACATCAACATATGGTTTGTTTGTTTGTTTTTTTGTCGTGTCAGGAGCAACTTGAGAAACTGCAAGTCACTTCTGTTATGTGAGAATTGGCCGTCTGCAAGGACGTTGCCCAGGGGACGCCTGGATTATTTGATGTTTTATCATCCTTGTGGGAGGCTTCTCTCATGTCCCTGCATGAGGAGCTGGAGCTGATAGAGGGAGCTCATCCACCTCTCCCTGAATTCGAACCTGTGACCTGTCGG